CTGTTTATTTTTTCCAGCATTTTGAACACTTAACCGGTATTAGTCGCATTAGCCGGTGATTCCGATATTTCTTGCATCACTTTCGACGCATCTAACTGTCCCGCAGCTCTCAGACCCATTTGAGTTGCATGAACTAGCAAAGGCAGAGGGGCAGTCTTTCTAAGCGCTAAAGATTTCTTGCGTTTAGTTGGTTCACTACATTCTTCAAAGGGTACCTCCATGCGGCCCCGTTTATGTGTTTTACAGCAGCTAAAACCAATCGAAGAATCTAACCAATCTCTGTTGGACTGCAGGAAATATTGCTGCTTCCTTGCCGATGCATACCAGCGAGTTTTGAAATCAAAACAGAATTTATTTATCCTCTCGTTAAATTCCTTCATATTTTCAGAGGAAACTTTAGTTCGTTCTCTTATCTCTTCTTTCAGAAATTTGAACTTTTCTTGGAGCTGACTACAACCGGATTTTTCCATAATTTCATAAAGGCTTCGACGAAGAAGGAATACGGTAGTTGAACTTGTTCCTAAATGGAAGTTTGGAAGTTTTTACAGACTCATCGATCCAATTATTTTTGATACAATTACGTTATACACAAAAAATAAACATAGTGAACAGTCACAATTACTTTCTACGCAGCATTCTACGGACTTAATACAAAATATTTCCTACCTTTACCCCTATGTAAACAAACAGAAGCTACATCACTAATTGTTGACGTTTATTATTTTATTAAAATAAAAACAAAAAAAGGGACCAACAAAAGCAACATGAACACTGCAACGTAGATCACCTTTACCCCTCCACTAAACAAATAGTAGCTTCGCCACTAGCTGTTAACCCTTATTAATTTATAAAAACAAAAGAAAACAAAACAAATAAAAAAACAGCAACAACAATAGCTACACTTACTTGATGTACACTAGGGTGGAGTGAAAAAAGTTAATTTTGAGTAAAGTTTTTTTTTTAAATGTAAAAAATTTCAAAAAAATTCAAACTTAAAGCCAAATGTGCGACCTCAAGATGATTTCGTAAAAATTAAATATTTTACAGAATTGTTACTAAGTCTCATACACAGTAGATGAAGGGTACCCGTTCCCGAAAACAAAAATTAACTTTTTTCACTCCCCCCTAATGTACTCATATCAAGTTTCCGTTGTTTTGCTTGAATATATATACATACATACATATTTCAATTGCATGGGCATACAAAAAAATATATTTTTTTTAAAAACCGCAGAAAATCTGCAAACTTTTTTTTTGTTAACATATCACTTATAATTGCTGTTTCAAAAAAAAAAAATAAACTTTCACTGAATTGAGTGGTATTCACATCTATATGCTTACTATATACCCAAAAACACACGTTTTATAAGCCTGCACGGAGAAAAACATTAAAAATACAAACAGACACTTTTTGTACTAATATATTTAATTTTAAGTTCAAAAAATACCCGAGGTAGAAGGTTCCATTGCTCAAAAAACTATACTTTTTTAATTTTTCAAGAAAAATCACTTGGAAATATCAAAACTCTTCTGTTTTTTACTATGCGCGCACCAAAGTAAAGAAAACGTCAAATTGGCAATCGTAGTGCATGGATAACGTTAATTTTTTTTTCAATTATTTTTCACATAGTGATGTAGAATTCTATTCTCTTTCGAACGATTCCAATCATCGTTGGGTATCTTCGATTTGATTTTTTTTATTTATCACACAAATTGCAATAAAATACTCCAATGTGCGCTGTTATAAATGGACTAAAAAGTAGAAAATAATATTTCTCAGTCCCACAGAATATGTTTTGATAACTTTTGATTTTGAAATTTTTTTTGAATGACTATTTTTGATTCTATTCCAAAGATCGAATATGATCTGAATGATCTTTAAAATGGTATATAATAGTCTATTGTCGGAAGACTCGTATTTCTCTTAAATTGTTACCAACGGTAATTTCTACAGTTTCAAAATATGGAGTACTATATAAAATTAAACCTATTTTCAAATAAACAATAACTCATCTCTTCTGCAATCGCATACAAATTGTCGAAGTTAGGCGACTTTTATTAAATACGGTCTTGAATTTATATTTGTGTATGTACCGGAATTTCAGATTTTTTGAGCAGTGTGGCTAAGGAGTTCATTAATATTTATTCAAAATTGATATATACAGGAAAGAAGGAAGAATTTTAGGTGCCACCCCCGCCATATCATATATGTGTATCTCAAAAACTACTGGACCGATCTCAACCAAATTTGGTGAACACATTGCGCTTAGGCTTACACAGACATACACACATATCAATTCAAGGCCGTATTTAAGAAAAGTCGCCTAAATTCGACAATTTTTATGCGATTGCAATAAATAAGGTATCAGTTTATTTGAAAACAGAATTAATTTAAGATAGTACTCCATAATTTGAAATTGCAGAAATTATCGATGGCCAAATTTAAAAAAATTAAGAGAAATATGTCTTTTTTAATTTATCCGATAAAGAATCCCAACAAGCCTTTGCGACAATAGATTATTATATACCATTTTAAAGGCCTATATATCCTCGTCTCAGATCTAGATCTCATAAATCTAAAAATCTGTAAAAATAGGCAGTAATAATTCTCATAAAAACGAATAAAATTAAGGGGTAGGGTTTTGAAGTTTCCCAAAAAAAAACATTTTTGATGGGCACCCTAATGTACATCGGTGGAAATCGCCTTTAATTCTATACCTACATTAGTTTTTGCGTGATGCGCTAACAAGCATGTTGCCATGCAGACAGACAGACAGACCAAAATTCTAAAAAATGTTGAATTGGCTTCTGTTGATCTAATAAACCCTATTAATTCTTCTTTAATATCTATTATGTACAGATACTGGCCTGTTACAATTTTATTATTCCCAAATACCTTCGTTTGATACCCATGTGGCAACATTTAGGTTATCTTATCAATTTAACTGAATTAAATTTTTCACATAAGTGGCAACCCGCTTCAAAAATATTTTCGAAAGTAACCTTCCTAAACCTCTTTAGTTCAATATCCGTATTGCAATGTTTTATTTATTTTACCAATTTAAATGAGTAAAATTTTTCAAACTGGTGGCAGATTCCCTAAAAATATTTTCGGCATTAAAATTTCCTGACCTCTTTAGTTTGATGCGAATATTACAATATTTAATTTATGTTATCAAATCAATTAAATTAAAGTGTTCAAACGGTTGGCGTATCAATTTACTTAAACTGAAATTTTCAAACAGGTGGCACCTCTCTAAATTTTTTCTTCTATGTTGTAAGTTAGACCTCTAGCGATACATATGTAAGTGAAAACTTAATTCGATTCCACGCATTAGCCCTGTGGGGAAAATCTCTAGTTCTAGTTTTTTCTTCTATGTTGTAAGTTAGACCTCTAGCGATACATATGTAAGTGAAAACTTAATTCGATTCCACGCATTAGCCCTGTGGGGAAAATCTCTAGTTCTGAACTGGTGCGCTTCTAGTACATTTAGAACCAGTACTGGTTCGCGATAAATCTCTTTTGCATGCAAGCAACTGGCGAATTTAACATGGCGATGTCCTAGGAAGTGTCAATTGCCCCCCGCTGCATCCCTTTTTCGATAGTTCCGAACTAGTCCTAAATTCTATAGTTCCGAACCAGTTCTAAAATCGACAGACGAAAGAAAAAAGTATNTCCGAACCAGTTCTAAAATCGACAGACGATAGAAAAAAGTATCATGATTTTTCAATCTTTCTGGTTTTTCCGTGTGTGCGATTTTAAGTTATTTTGGAAGAAATGCGTTTTCCATTTGAAATTAAATTTGTTTGAATGATTGTAAGAAATGTACTATTACATACCTTTGGCTGTAGCTGAGTTTGCAGAGGTGCTCGCTGTTATTTCCTAGATTCTAGACGGTCCCAAGATGTTGAAATGTTAACACAAATTTTGGTTTTGTATTACCAAGCTATGAAAAAGCATCTGCGAAGCACAGAACAGAAGCGTATTTGAACGAAAAAGCCGCCGAACACATATCTATGTAAAGTAAACAAGCCCCCCGCTGCATCCCTTATTAATCCCCCAATCCCCCCCCTCCCCTATCCCATCCCCCTATTAATTTTTCTTTAATATCTGTCATGTACAGAAATCGGCCTGCTACAATTTTGTTATATGTATACATCGGCGTAGCCAGAATGAAATTTAGGGGGCTCGACCCTATTAAGCTGGCATTTCAGGGTACTATTTTATATATATATAAGGAAAAATTGAAAGTTAGGGGGAGGGGGCAGGCTCGAGCACCCCCTGCCCCTACCGGGTACGCCCATGTATGTATAGATTAAATCCGGTAAAACTAGGCTGGCTTCCAAAACGCATCAATACAATGTTTGGATGCTGTTATACTGCGGTATTCAAACTGTTTTTATATGCAGAGTTGCGACATATTGCATATTTTAAGTTTTCAATATAGCAATGAACATTTTTTCAGAATTTTCCATTTTTAGAAAACCATTAATGGTAACCAAAAACAAACGAAGCATCAACTTTGTTTCCGATGCGCTGATTGCTCTAGCGACGCGTTTCGATAACTTTTCGGATGGGTTTTGGAAAAGTATACATTTACCTTGTTTATACCAACACATAAAGCGCTTTCACCCAGTTCGTTGTGATTCAAAACGGAAGCATAAACCAACTTTCAATACGCTCAGAAATTCGAAAGTGTATTGACTCGAATTTGTTTTCAAATCGATTTTTTATTCCTCACATCGGTTATTAATTAATTAATTAATAAATGCTTGGAAGGAATATGTGTTGAGCCAAATCAGCTTTTTGTTAATGCGGTTCTTGCGTAGGTATAAACAAGGTAATAGTAATTATTACAATTTCTTAATACATATCTCTGGAAGGATAGAAAATCTCTGGAAGTATTTTTTTTATTTCCATTTAAAAATGGAAATATGTATTTATTACATGGAATTAAAAAAATAGAAAACATTCTTGACGCCTAAAAAATCGTATTTTCGTATAACCTTTTACTTGCACGAATTTCTTTAAATGATGGCTTGAACATTGCGGCAAGTGGTTTTTTGGCATCTTAAAAGGGTTACTGGAAAAAAAGAAGTAAATTACGAGTATGAACGACCGTTTTGTGCTGCAACTTACGCTGACAGATCGCCCGCACCATATCACAATATGCAACATTGCGCCATGTGGCACCGACTCTCACCCGGCATTGTGTGTTGAAAGTTGCAAAGGTGTCGTCTGGGTTTACGCCAGGCCTATTTGCTGCTGTTGCTCTACACCGTTGAGTGAGTGTGTCACATAGCTGACGGTCCTCAGGCGTGTTGCAGGCTTTGGTAGAGTGTACCAAATATACTTGACAAATATAAAAAAGAAGGTACTATATGGCGCAGATTTCTTTCAAGGAGAAGCTCACCTGAAATAATCAAAACTAGGAACTGTATCTTCATTGCGAAAGCTGGCTGTACAATGAATCGGATTTTACTTTACTGTTATTTATAGGAGTTTATTGCGCTTTTGTTATGCATACCATTTTTAAAATTCTATACAATAAGGTCACAACTGGATGTATTCGATGAATACAATTTCTTTCTTTACTACCTTTTTAATTGTTATATAATATTTTATGCATAAATATGTATTTGCCGGCAATATTTAACTCCGCTTTAATTGCAGGCATTATGTTATAATTGTAAAGCATTCTGAAAAAAAAACAGAGACATTGTTCCTTTATTGATGATACTTACACAGTGGGCGAAACTGAAAAAATATTAAAAAATGGCACTGGATCACAAATTTTAGTTTTGTTTTTGTTATCCGCAAATATCTCGAAAAAGTATCCACAGAAAAAAAAATAACTAGATTTTCGGAATCACCGAATAGAACATTTTTGGCCAACCAATGTTGTTAATACATTCTAGGGTATAGAGTAGGGTCGCCAACCGTACTATAATATATAGTATTGTACTATTTTTCAGGTCGGCGTACTTTATACTGTTGGAAAAAAGTACTTAAAAATACTCTATATATCTTCAATTATATATAAAAGTATATTTCAGTAATTTGCACAAATAATGTGTATTAAAAACGACGACCTTTATACTGAAATAACATATTACATGAAATATTCTTTAAAGTAAACGGTCATAGTGCGTTTATAATCAAAAAAGGTAACATATTTTTAAAAACACTGAGAAAGAATTAAAAAATTTAATTAAAATTTTTTCATTTCTCCACTCTATTCCAGAGGTTCCCAAACTTTTTTCTCGTAGACCCCTTCCAAAAATTTACTGGTTTCGGTCGACCCCCTGCTGATACATTTCTAAATATTCCCAAAGCTCGTAAAAACATGAAATGTGAAGATTAGATCTAACAATGTAAATTTGAATCGCGGGTGAATTCAAAAACTAAACTCAGAGTGGCCAAAATAAAAGTAAAATATTTTCTTTTGTTCTGTTTATAATAATAATGTGATTAGAAAATAAATAATAAATAAATAGAGCTCGTAAATGCATCAAAATACTCTCTCGCTCGGAAGAGTTATATTTTTTAAGAGCACTGCGAGCGGCAGCGTTATTTACATCAGTGGCGGATACAGGGGAGGGGCGAGGAGGGCTGCCACCTGTTACAAAATTTAGCACAATTTAATTGATAAACTAATAAATTAAAGAGGTTTAAGAAAGATAACTGCTGGAAATAATTTTGAGTAGAATTGCCACCTCTTTGAAAATTTAAACTCAGTTAAATTAATAAAATAAATGAAATACTGCAATTTGGGTATCAAACTTTAAATTCTTAAGAAGGCTTGCAGCCGAAAATATGTTTGGGGAGGGTTGCCACCTGTTTGAAAATTTAACTCAATTTAATTGATATAGGTATCAAATTAAAGAGGTTGAAGAAAGAGAACTTTAGGAAATACTTTTGTGCAGGGTTGCCACGTATTAGAAAAATTTAACTCATTTATGTGGGTAATGTGGGTATCAAACTAAAGAGTTTTTAAAAGGCCTACAGTCGAAAGTATGTTTGAGGAGGGTTGCCACCTGTTTGAAAATTTGACTCAATTAACTTGATAAAATGAATGAAATGTTACAATACTGGTACCAAACTAAAGGGATTTTAGAAATCTTGATTTAGAAATCTACATATATAAAAATGTTATGTTCGTATGTCACGGTCGTCAAAACTCGAGAACGGCTGAACCGATTTGAATATTTTTTTTTTGTATTTTTTTGTATTCGGTAGAATACTAGGATCAATGATAACACAAAAATTTTAAGGGTTGCCTCCTATTTGAAAGTGTTTAAACCCAATTATATTTATAAAATAAATGAATTATTACAATATGGGTATCAAATTAAAGAGGTTTAAGAAAGATAACTGTTGGAGATATTTTTGAGTGTTGCCACCTATTTAAAAATTTTAACTCAGCCACATTGATAAAATAAATGAAATATTGCCATGTGGGTATCAAGCCAAAGAGTTTTACGAAGGCTTACAGCCGAAAATATGTTTGAAGAGGGTTGCCACCTGTTTGAAAATTTAACTAAATTATATTGATAAAATAAATGAAATATTACAATATGGGTATCAAATTAAAGAGTTTTTAAAAGACCTACAGTCAAAAATGTGTTTTGAGGCGGGTTTCCATCTCTTTGAAAATTTAAGTCAATTAAATTGGTAAAATAAATGAAATGTTACAATATCTGTACCAAACTAGAGGCATTTGAGAAATCTTGATTAAGAAGCAATTAAATGAAGAAAGAATTTACAAAATCTTATCAAACGAAGTGATTATATTATCAAAGAAGAGTTGGTATACAAATTTTGCAATGAAAAAATAGTACTAATAAAAAACTACTGATACAAATGAAAAAATAATAAAAACCATACATTACGAAAACATAAAAATATCGCATGAAAGCTGTTTAAAAATGAAATAAAACTTAAAATTGTTGTCACCCTTCCCCAACATTATAAAATAGTTAATAGTTAGTTATATTGCGATTAAAGAGAATGTGAATGCTTTAGCGTTGAGTTTTTCCGACTTTCAAATATCTAAGAATGTACCTTAGTAAAATACGCATCTACCTAACAATACCCACACTTTCCAGAAAATTTTTTGCTAAATAAGATGAGCTGCTTCGGATTTTTAGCAAAATTTTTCCAAAAATCAGCGAGATTATGAATATTATGCTGATTATTATTATTCTGATCTCCTATTATATGCCCAATCAAACATTCACAAATTAAAGCGTGAGCAGAAGGGCATTTATGATCGCATATTGCAAATGTTAAGACAATAAGAGCTGCAGAACTGAACGACTCACGAACAAATTTTACAAGGACGTGTAATTTCTGGCGTATGCGAATGATATCGACATCATCGGTAACAAAGACCTCGAAGTCTATCCTGCCTTTTTACCTTCCTTTTATTAGCTCGGGATGTAACTATGTAATATTGATGCGCCTAAAAGATGCACCGATTTCTATTCTCAAGTTACATACCTGATGACAGTACGAATGGCAATTATAATAGGGAGGTTTTAGTTTTTTAAACTATAATTTTATTCAAGTTGGATAACGAGGCAAAGCGATTGGGTTTGGTGATCAACGAGGACAAGACGAAGTATTTCCTGTCATCAAACAAAGAGTCAGAGCATTCGCGCCTTAGCACCCAAATTCAAATGATAAATGACCCTCTTCTTGGACGCGCCAGGAGTAACTAAGAGAACATTCCTTATAAGATTGTGGCAACGGTTCGATGTTTTCATCAATTACAAAGCCGTAGCTCTCGCTTCGTCTGGAATATCTGCGACATTGTTACCAGGTGGAAGCACTTCTCGTTTAGCTCTTATGCTGCCAGTGAACATGCAAATCATTGAATCTCCCATGTGCAATATTTCCAGAACATCCGGTATGGGAATAGTACTTATTACAAAAATGTAAACTCATTGTTTGGGATGAGTGCACAATGACACATTAAAAAATCTCTTGAGTTTCTTGATCGATCGGTGCGAGATTTGCGTAGAAGTGTTTAACGATTCGGGAATGCATTGATATTGCTCGCAGGAGATTTTACGCAAACATTGCCTGTAATATCTCGATTGACACCAGCGGGCGAGATAAATGCTTGCCTGAAATATTCAACATTGTGGCAAGATGAACATACAATACATTGGAGGTGACTACGAATATGCGTCCAACTACAGAGCGATTAATCAGCCTAGGTATTCTTGCGACAATTACTGAATGGGGAACGGAAAGCTACCAGTCAATGAGAGATTAAGACGAATTTTATCGCTTGATAATTTTTGTAACTTAGATCGAAAGAAGAACTGATCGAAAAAATGTTTCCGGATATTCAAATTAATTAATTAGGAATCGCGATTGGCTCAGTGAACGAGCTATTCTTGCTGCCAAGAATAATGATGTCTATCAACTCAATAATGTTTTTCAATCCAGCATTCAAAGTGATGAAATAGCATATACGTACGAACAATTGAAGCAGTTAATTATCCAACAGAATTTTTGAACTCGATTGATCTTCCAGGTGGGGAAACCACATACTGAAATTTAAAATAGGTGTGGCAATTATCATGTTGCGGAATATTAATCCGCCAAAACTCTGCAACGGCACGCGACTCGCAGTTAAGAAATTGACAGAACGTAGTGGAAGCAAAGATTTTAACGCGGCCTATCAAAGGTAAAGATGTCCTCATCCCTCGAATTCCCATGATTCTGACAGATACACCATTTCNAGATTTTAACGCGGCCTATCAAAGGTGAAGATGTCCTCATCCCTCGAATTCCCATGATTCTGACAGATACACCATTTNCAGAACGTAGTGGAAGCAAAGATTTTAACGCGGCCTATCAAAGGTAAAGATGTCCTCATCCCTCGAATTCCCATGATTCTGACAGATACACCATTTCAATTTAAAAGATTTCAATTCCCAATTCGATAGGCGTTTGCAATCACAATAAAAAAGGTCAATTTCAATCTTTGGAAAAGTGTGGTTTAGAATTTAGATGCTGATTGCTTTTCACAATCCATGTTGCATGTCTGCAAACCAGATAGCCTTGATATCTAAGTAGAGACTTGAAAACGAAAAATATTGTGTACATACAAGTATTGCAAAATCAAACTTATCTGAAAAGTATGCTTCATTTCGTTAATCATTTATTATAATCCATGTAACAGGAATATGCCACAGCAAAGCGTGGCAGGGTACAGGTAGTTTGTTTATAGAAATATAGTATAATCTTTAACAAAAACAATATAAACACAAGTTTGAATCTCTGTGCAACGTTTTAAAAAATCAACAAGCCTTCGTAAAAATTTCGAACTTTTTAATTTGATTTTTAAGCCCATTCAATTTTACCGCAAGTTTAAAGTAACTGATTTTTGGCATTTTTTTTGTTGATCATGTTAGCCATTTTATTCCAATACAAAACATTTTCGACGATTTTTTTTTGTTATATGA